AACAAAAAGCGTGTTGTCGGAAGCCTTGCCAATGACGGTCACCGCGGTCACCGGCGTCAGAAAATCGACAAATTAAACTCGGGACATCCAACGCCCCATCACAAATCAAAGAGCAAGCGTCGGGTATTAAAAGCCCACACATTTGTCCAAAGGCTTGGGCGTGGCCAAAGCGAAGTTGGGGCAAGATTTCCTCGTCGCGCTCAGACTCCATTAAAGCTTAGAAATCTTCGAAGGTAGGACGTACCTCTTGCCTGCTAAAGCTAAAGACATGTGTTACCGGATTCCAAAACCTTGCCGTGGCGTGAAGGAATGGAAAGTGTAGCGGAGTGCGACTCAGAGTAAATAGTGCATTTATGCCGAAACCCTGGAAGTTCAACTTTTTCGAGCCGTCCAAGTTGGCAATCCAAGCTGTGAGATTTTGGGCAAGAAACTCTTCCATTTGGAGCAAATCAGTGTGAAATTGAGAGAAACTATGAAGCTGAAGCCTTTTGTAGGGGATAAGGTTGAGTGGAGGACAGATGTCAGCATTCTGCTGGTCTCTGCCATTTATGGCTGGCCGGCCAAATATAGTGTCGACCGACCACCACTTTTGGCCGACTGATCAAATCTGCTGGCCGATGGCCATTTCATGAGGTCGAAGGATTTCCCTGGTGGCCGGTGGTCTTCCTTCTTGTCCCCTGAGCTGTTTATATGGTTGAACATGTTGAGAATTTGGGGAATGCCACCACTTCCAATGCCCTCCGATGATGATTTTTTGCGACGTCACGCCTATTTGCTTATCGAGTTGTATGTCACATTTTCCTTAAATCTTTGCATTTGCTTAATCGAGTTGTATTTACACCTGGTCAGTTCATCGAGTTCTTTGTTGTTGCTTATCGAGTTATTTTGTCGTTGGTCAGCTCACTACCTGATTATTACGAGGCAAGTGCTTGGTTTTCAAACACAATCTCAATTTCATTCACATTGTTATGTGATGCCACGCGATGCGATGCATAGAACAACAAATGTAACACCTTTTTGAGCAAAATAGCTGTTTTTATTCCCATCATGTCTTTTGCAAAAAGATACATAGTTTTGAAAAAAGTAAAAACCTGCCTAAGGCAGTGCAATGTGCTTAAACTACCAGTAAAAGGAAAAGTAAAGCAAAAGGAGAGCAGGGCAGTAGAGTATCGGAATTGATACCGGTAACCTCCCCTTGCGGTAGATGCACCTCCTACGCCCTTGTTCGGGTCAATTATACGGTTTGGCACCTTCATTACTCAAGATAGTGCAAGAAAGTGCGCTTTGGAATGTTAACTGGTCTTCGTGCTGACCTCGAGCCATGTCTTCTGTGTGCGATGTTCGGTGCGTGCAAGGAGCATCCTTTCCCGTATCCTTTTGTGCCTCGCGGAGCCTGCAAATCGCTTTAAACATGTTGTATTACATTGCTTCAATATGACTATGACTAGCACGCTCAATACGCATCTTGCTTTCAATAAATGTCTCGTCTTGATTTGGTTGCATATCAACAAATGTGAGTGGCATGCCTTCACTATACTGATGTTGTACATGCATTTAAGTTCCTTTCTATACACATTGCATGCATTGTCGCGTTATGCTTTACTTACATGTGTTCAAGTCCCTTTCATACACATTGCATGCGTTGTCACGTTATGCTTTACTTACATGTGTTCAAGCCCCTTTCATACACATTGCATGCGTACCTGCATTGCTTTACTTCCATGTGTTCAAGTTCCTTTCTATACACATTGCATGCATACGTGCATTGTTTTATTTACATGTGTTCAAGTTCTTCTTATACACATTGCATGCGTACTCGCATTGCTTTACTTACATGTGTTCATGTTCTTCTTATACACATTGCATGCGTACTCACATTGCTTTACTTACATGTGTTCAAGTTCCTTTTTATACACATTGCATGCATACGTGCATTGTTTTACTTACATGTGTTCAAGTTCTTCTTATACACATTGCATGCGTTATCGCGTTATGCTTTACTTACATGTGTTTAAGTTCTTCTTATACACATTGCATGCGTTATCGCATTATGCTTTACTTACATGTGTTCAAGTCCTTATACACATTGCATGCGTTGTCGCGTTATGCTTTACTTACATGTGTTTACCTTCATAGCATTGTTATGCTTGTTTTAAATCGTATTGTCATGCGTTCTATTCGACTTGCGTTGTCATGCACTTTCAATTGCATTGTTATGCATATTGCTAACGATATTGTACCTGTTAAGTTTTCTTTCTCTTTCAGGCACGATATTATATGTACGGTTTATTTGAAGCTGGTGCAACCAAACGAACCGCACAGGTATTGTATTCTCCGTGTGAAACGTAGTGAGAATTACATAATTCTCTTACATCCTTTCTGCATTGCAATGTAGTTGGGTTTGTGTTTGATTGCTTAAAACTGTTGCATGATATGCTTCGTTACAGTTTTCTTTGCATGATCATAAGTTATGTTCGGCTTCTTGCATTGTCAGTTCCATTTTGCCCCTGCCCTTGGGCGCATATCTTATTTGTAGCTTGTATGTTTGTCTAAGTCTTCGGCCTTGTCAAAAATGGGTCGTCTCTGGACTTTGACACTCACTCCCGTCATTGTTATGACTTTTGAGTTCTATCAAAGAGGGCAACTGTAGACACCCCATTTTTTACCGTCCTCGAGACTTGGACGTCACAGCTTGAACACTCGGTGATCATCCATGTTCGTGCTTGTTTTGAGTTCCCGGAGGTCTCGGCTACGCGCGTTGCCTCAGGATCTCTCAACTCGACTGTTTTGTGTTTGATTTTGCACAAAACACTTGTGTTTTTGCTTCTGAGGGTAGAGAGTAGCTTGTTAGCTACCCCTGACACCCACCGGCCCTGGATTGAGGCCACCGGCCGTGTCTTCTTGCTACCGGCCATTGGTGAAATATACCATTGGCCGGTCGGCATTTGGTGTGGCCGGCCGACCATCTGTTTGGCCGATGGACTCCTTTTCTGGCCGATACCACCTTTTTTCCTTTTTTAGGCATAATGCGTGCTAGCTGTGCCAGCTGGAATGCACGGACCCTGCCCCCCATGCACGGGTGTGGCTGTTTTAAACCATTGTACCTTTTTGGTCCAAGCTTCCCAGAGAAGATTGCACTCTTTGCTCAAGCTTCTTGAGGAAGCTTGACCCTTTGTCATAGCTTCCTCAAGAAGCTTGCACCCTTAGCTTAGCTTCCCTTGGAAGCCTTGACCCTTTTTGAATAGTATGATTCTAGGCACTACAGCAAAAAAAAGGTCTATGGTGACGAAAACGCATGATGAAAAAATATTTCATCTCCAAATATACATGTTTTAGTGATGAAAACAAGATTTCGTCTCTAATTGTACTATTTTTAGAGACAAAAACAAAATTTAGTCACCAAATGCTTAAAATAAATAAATAAAATAATAGGTGACGAAATTTGTTTTCATCTTTAAATTTATTTTTCATCACAAAACAAATTTCCGCCCTTTGAAATTTGGGTGGAAAATTTGGGTGCCATTGTAAAAAATTTCAGAGACATATATAATTTCATCACCTATAATTTAAGGGGACAAAACGACGTTGTTTTGTCTTTCCAAATCATTTTACCCAAATCACTCTTCTCTCTCGCGCTCTTTCTCTCACTCTCCCCCTCTCCCCCTTCTCTTTCAGTGGCTTCAAGTCACAACCCTCCCACTCGCTGCTCGCAAGGTAAGTTTTTATTCTCGATTCAGTGTTTTGGCGAAACTGTGCTTCGATTAGCTCGCCGAGTTGGCTCCTCAGTGGTTTCAAGTCGCAACCCTCCCACTGTGCTTCGATTGGCTTCACCACCTCCATAGCCAAGTGGCTTCAAGTGGCAACCCTCCCAATGTACTTCGATTGGCTTCACCACCACCACAGCCACCGTCATCATTATCAACTTCTTCGAACCCCCTCCGGTACCTCTCTCCCTCTCTATCTTTCTCTCTATGCTTCAAGTGTATAATGGTTTGATTGTTTATCTAGGTTTAAAATGGATAATAGTTTGATTGTCTATAATGGTTTGATTGTTTATCAAGGTTTGAATTTGGGGTTTTATTCCCTTTTTTCTTTGATTTCTCTTTCTTTGAATTTGGGGTTTTATCCATGTAGACACTACCTTATCAAGGTTTGATTGTTTATCAAGGTTTGAATTTGGGGTTTTATTCTCTCTTTTCTTTGATTTCTCTTTCTTTGAATTTGGGGTTTTATCCATGTAGATACTACCCATGTCTTTTCACTGTCAATGCACCACTACAGGAGGTATGGTTAGCAGTTGGATTTCTATATAAATCTGTATATTAAATTTTCTGAATTTGGAGTTTATTCGCTTGTTCTATTTTTGATTAAATAGAATTATCATTTTATAGTGTTCTTTTTGATGCCCAAATTCCTGTTGTAATTTTTTTTCCAGTTAAATTTTTTCCAATTAAAGGCATAAGAGGTAGTTATGAGATGAAAGTAATAAGTGGCAATTCTTCAACTCAAGTGACATATATGTTTTGCAGTTGTTGATCAACAATTTAGATAACTATAAAGAACAAAATGACAGCAGAGAACAGGACATGTTTTGTAGTTGTTGTTTTAAACACAATGGTAAGACTCAAAAGTTGCAATTACATTTGTTTGTCATTTTTACCTTGGTGTCAACAGCTGGGTGATATAATTTTTTTTATTTTTCAAGGTAACTATGTGTTCAGTGTACTGCGAAAGGAAGTTTGAGGTTGAACCAGTTGAAGTAATTTATTCTGATCGGAAATCTAGTGTTTACCCTGATTTATCATTCTACCATGTGGAAGTGCCTCTATCTTACGTCATTGAAATAGTCGGAGTTCCCTTGGACGCAAATAAGGTACTACATTTTCTGCTCATTATTATTTTTTATACCTTCCTACTTGATTCATTTAGAAACTTTAACTTTTCCATTTATTGGACTGACATGTCATTACAAATGTACTGGGGTTGAAGCAGTTCTCTTGTTAGTTTGATTGCTTCTATTTCTTTGATTTTTGTGTATCAAATTGATACTTGAGATGTGGATTCTTTGTTGCTTTGTTTTAATACTTGACCAGTCTGTTATTTGTTGCTTTGTTGTATATTCTGTTGTGTTAATTATTATTTAAGGTTTCTTATATCCCATTTAGAAACTTCTAGTTTCTATACCGCCGATGAAAAAACTTTTAGTTTCTATTTATGTTCCATGACAACACCCTAATGAAATGCAGTTTGGCTAGAAAACAAATAATGTATTCACATGACCTGTTCCTGCCTTCAGGTCGCTGGTTTGTTGAATAAAATGCAATTGCATGCCAAGAAGTCTGACTTAGTAGACAAATGGTCCACTTTCATTGTTTTTGTACCTCCTACAAGAAGTGATATTCTTCGTCTGTGTGATGTTGTTGAGGTATGAATATTGATATTTTACGTAACAAAAGCAAGCAGAGCATCATCATGTTGATTGTTCCTCACACAGCTTGTTCTTTCTTTGAAAGGATGTTGTTATTGCTTTTGGCTATAATGAAATTCCAAAGAGGATACCTGCATCTCTGAAGCCTTTGCCTTTGAACCAGTTCAGTGATCTTATTAGATCAGAGGTATTTTCTGTGCCTGTTTTTTAGGTTCTTTTACAGTTATGCTATAGGGACACTTCTATTGTTTGTGCCTACAAAGTGTGATGCTACTGTTTATGATTCTTGTTTTTCTTTTTTTAATTTATTTTTATTTTTTATATATCAATTTCTTCTACAACAGTTAGCTTTGCATTGTTTTACCCCTACAATTATTAGGTGATTGGATTATATTGAGTTTTTTTTTTTTTCTTGAATGGGTGTCGGTCAGGCTACTTATTATAAAGGAATAACAGGAGTTTTTGAATGATCAATAATATGCTTCTAATGATGCTAGAGACATCTCAGTTGTTGATCGTCTTTTCTTGGACTATAAAATTAAGTAACCATGCTCCTCTCATCTTTTAAGAAATCAAGAACCAACACTTACAGAAAAAGAGTAGTAGCAAACAAAAAGGAACCCTTTCCATAAGGGTTGATGCTTGGTGAAATGGTAAAAGTTTGCATTTCCAAGCATAGGGATACAGGCTCAAGTTTGAGAACAACCATTTTGACTAGTCATAATACGACGTTACCATGCGCGTCGTAGAATCGTATCCATGACGTGTATTTGGCATCGTAAAACCCTTTTTTGTTGTAGTGCGATGACTTGTTGCCGGTTAAGTATGTTAATTATTCTTTTCAAACATTTGCAGATATATTAGCAGAGTTACCAAAGAGAGAGAAAGAAGCAAATATTAAACCTGATCCTGATATTGATATCTTCATGAAGGTCATAAACGAGTGCTACCAACTTCGAAGAATTTCCTAACAAATGATGTTTTGTGTTGATACTAGTTGTTTTCATAAACGATTGTATAAGTTCTCTTGTTATGACTTGAATGATAATAATAACATAGATAAAACAAGAAATGTTTAAATTTGAATTCACTGGGTTTTGTTGAAAATGGAGTTTATAATGTATAGTTTCATCTCTATGTGAATTTTATGTTCTAAAATTATTAGTGTAGTTAAGGTGTTCTCTTCAACATTCAGACACGTTTCAATTTTTAGATTCTTTTCAGTTCCCTTGGATTGAAGATTTTGTTAAAAACATGAGATCACTAAACTTCTGAATGTGGTGTTTATGCATGAAGTTAAGGTGTAAAAAAAGTATTGCGGTTTGAAAACCAAGTAGAAAAATGTATTTTTCCAACACAGGCTTGAAATAGGCCATCGAGGGCCAAAATCGTGAAACACTGACAAGAAGACCACGGGAACACCTCGAACATCTCAGGAGGGGCCAATGTAACTTGTGAAAACTTATGGAACTAGCACTGGATTCCCGGTTTGAAAACTAAGTAGAAAAATGCACTTTTCCAACACTTAGGCTAAAAAATAGGCCATCGGGGGGCCAAAATTGTAAAACAGCCACGAGAAGGTCCGGGGAACACCTCAAACACCTCGAGAGGTACCAATGTAAGTTGTGAAAACTTACGGAACTAGCACGGGACTCCCGATTTGCAAACTAAGTAGAAAAATGCACTTGTCCAACACTTAGGCTTGAAAATATGCCATCGGGCTCCAAAATCGTGAAACAACTACAAGAAGGCCCGGGGAACACCTGGAACACCTCGGGAGGGACCGATGTAAGTTGTGGAAACTTACGGAACTAGCACAGGACTCCTTGTTTGAAAACTAAGTAGAAAAATGCACTTTTCCAACACTTAGACTTGAGAATAGGCCATCAGAGGCCAAAACCGTGAAACAACCACGAGAAGGCTTGGGGAGCACCCCAAAACCAATGTAAGTTCTGAAAACTTATGGAAATAGCATGGGGACTCCGGGTTTAGGTGGTGGTTTCCTTTGTATGTTATGTGATGTTTCGTATTGAACAATGTTGTGTGTTTGATGACTGAATGGAAATTTGATGAAATGTGCATTTAGTATGAGTCCGGGTAAGAGTCGGTTTTGGATATTGTGTGAGTTGTGTTGGTACCCATGGGGGGGAAAGATAAAGGTGCCCAATTGCCCTATTTAGGCTTATCGTTGGACGAATGTGAGAAAATATTTTTGGGCATCCACTGATCCTGCTGTATTGTAGTTGGCAAAAGTAGAAAAACAGATGATTTTGGGTGCCCATAATAGTCGGCAAATGCGGGGGCGGTTTTTAAACAAAAGAAACTTGTGTTTGGACTTGGACTCTAACATGGGACTCATTGGCTATTTTATTTAGATGTGATGATGAATGATATGGGATGTAAATATGTTTATTTAATTGTTATAGTGTTTACATGATTAACAATAATTTCAGGTGTTCAAAGATTTCTTGTTGTGTTTTGTCTCAATGATGTCACATATTTAATCAAATAATTAAATATTTGGTTGAATGTATTCCTATTGGGCATATAGCTCAACCCTATTTTATTTTTTAATAATTGATAATGCACCACACCCTTGATGAGTTGGGGAAAAAGTGAGCAATGGTTCAATTTGAGAAGGATTGGCTCAAGGATATTTTGTAGTTAATGTAGAAAACTTTGTACCTAAACTTTGAAATTTGTTTTGTTATTTTGTATGCCCTTGAGGCTTATTATTTTTGTAAGGCCATCTAATTTATTGAACTGGAAAGTGAAACCAGGGTGTTTTGGGAATGTGAATGTTGTATTGTAATCTTTTAAATCCTAGTTCAATGAGAAAGATAACCTTTGGGGATATCTTATGGTGTCTGTCTTGATATGTTCCAATATGTATTTGCAGGGTGTTACATATTTATTGATTGTGGGTTGAGAGATGAGAGTTCTATATTGTTTGAGTGTTTTTTTTTTTTTTTTTAATTCTCCTATATTTTCTTTTGTGCTCAGTTACCTATAAATCTTTGTTGAGATTGAGTGCTCATCTGTGGGTTAAGTGTGTGAGATTACACAAAGTGACTTTTGTTACTGGTCTGAGCTCATGTTATGTACAGGTATGAGTGCTCATGACGGGTGTTTGTCTTGATATGTTCCAGTATGTATTTGAAGGGTGTTACAGATTTATTGATTGTGGGTTGAGAGATGAGAGTTCTATATTGTTTGAGTTTTTTTTTTTTTTTAATTCTCCTATATTTTCTTTTGTGCTCAGTTACCTATAAATCTTTGTTGAGATTGAGTGCTCATCTGTGGGTTAAGTGTGTAAGATTACACAAAGTGACTTTTGTTACAGGTCTGAGCTCATGTTATGTACAGGTATGAGTGCTCATGAGGGCCACCCTTTGTGCTGTTGCTACTCTATCTTATGTTGTTATGTTGCTTATTTATTTGGATGTTTATGTTTGGACATTGCTACATTATGCTTTTATATATATATAATTTTTATTTGTCTAAAAAAAAAGAAATAAAATGGGATATGCAAAATTAAAAAAAAAAAAAAAAGGGTCGGAGATTTTTCGGGGTCGGGGAAAACCCGATCCCTGTTGGGGAGGGAAAGGGGGGGTGATTAGTTCCCCACCGGGGATCGAGGGTAGCGGGGACGGGGATGGAAATTTTTTTAGCTTTGGGGATCGGGGACGGGAAGTGTAATCCCTGATCCCGCCCCGACCCGTTGCCATTCCTAATAGCACGTTCCTTGCATAGGTATTTTATACTAGTATATATATACATAGAATAGAAAATAGAGTTAATTACCTAAAAGTCTTATTTATAAATGCTATGGTAGTTCAAATCCTATCTAAGATTTTTTGAACCAATAAGTCTTATTTAATAAAACTGAGAATATTAGTTTTTCCCAAATTTTAAAACTAAGAACATTATCAATTTTGCATAGTAATGTTCTAGATAATTATTTCACTAATTGATGAAAAAAAAACAGAGCATGAGATTAAATATCTTTGCCCTACTACTTATTAGGTTTGATTCAATTATCTAATAAAATCGAGAACATTATCAGTTTTTTCATTTTTAAATTTATTTATTTGTTTATTTTCAGTTTTGCACATCAATATTCCATCATCATGTTCCTTTATAGAAACAAAATTTTTAATTTTGCACGAAAATAATTTAGTTTTTTCAATTTTTTCAAAAAAAAAAAACATTTTTTTTTGCACACAATTTTTTTTTTTTTTTTCAATTTGAAAGTTGATATTTTAAAGTTTTGGAAAATCAAAGTAAATGTTAAAGTATCATGTTCCTCTCTAGATAATCATAAATGATGAACAATCATTGTATGAAGGGTAATTCTGACTATTAAAAATTTAATAGGACTTAAAGGTCCAAAAAATCTTAATTAGGATTTAATAAAGTATAAGTTCATAAATTAGAACTTGTCTATAAATGTCCTTAAAAAATATGTACAATTTATTGATCTATGAAAAAAATAGAACATATAGTTGTGTAAATGTTGGACTCGTATATGTACCGAAAATAAATGATAATATATTATAAATAAATAAATAAAGTCTTGGTCTGATAATTTAAATCTTCAGCTAAAAAAGCTTAGGAAAGCAAAGCAATCAATCTTTTGGTATGAGATAAATTTAAATTATTATTTTTTTCAAGGTTAATTGTCAATAATTTCAATAATATAAGACTCTTTCTAAGAAACTCTAGTATGTTTCAGACATTTACCTACTTTGTTGTATTTCGCTTTTTTGGCATGCATTTGCTTGGTCCATGCGTTAAAAAGTTTCCTTCAGCTATACTCTTATGCCAAACCCACGTAAAATGTCTCTGCATCATCATATCTTGGAAGCAACACTTCGGCAAATTGCTCAGTAGCTTTGTTTCTTTATATAACCATTTTTACATGTTTATTCTTTAGACTTTTTTTTTTTTTTTTCAACAGCCCACCTGACAACACTCTACCAAGGCATGAAAAGCACTCTGCACCACCCAAACCAAAGCTTTTCAGCAGCCCACACCTGACAACACTCTACCGAGACAGTTCCTTGGCCAGAAAACTCCATAGCCAACAGCTCCAAGGCTGGAGAAACTCCACACCTAGCTCCACTTCCATGGTCGGGACCGAGCACTCCTTGCAACCGAACACACCCAAGGATGATCAAGACTCACGACCATCACCACATCCAACCAAGACCCACTGCCATCTCCACTTTCATGGTCGAACACAGCTTTCCGGCTCCAAACTCCGAACACGCCCACCGTAAAAGCCCCGGTGTTGACAATCCAAAACATCGAACAACCGCCAAGACATCACCATACATCTGGATGAAGTTCACCCTTCAAACTCCCACTCGAAAAGGAGCGCTCGAATGAAATCTTAGACAGATCTGGATCAACTACAACATCCTTGTTCTCTCCAAACAAAGCACCGAAGCAACTCCATAGATCCGAAACCGAGCTCATCCCTCAAACTCCTACTCGCAAATGAGTGCCCGAATAAAGATCCAACCAGATCTGACCATCCTCTATTCCGGTCCAAAACCGACCTCCTTCTACTCTGTTTTGACCCTTAAACCAAGCACCCCCAGTTGAAACAAAACCTGCAACCCCAAGGTTGAGACAAAAACAGACAACAAAATAAACAACCCCCTGATGATACAAAATAAACAAACCGAAGCACCCCCTGATGAAACAAAAAAGAACACCAAAGTGGAAAGAAATTGTGGGAATCAAGTTTATTAAAAGCAAAAACCAGCACACAAACACAAAAGAGAGCTGGGCCAGCTGACCGCCATAGCCAAAGGCGGCGATCCGCCGGCCAAAAGTGAGGCCCGGGGGTGGAGGTTTTTAGAGAGAGAGAGAGAGAGAGAGAGAGAGAGAGAGAGAGAGAGAGAGAAGGCTCTATTCCGGTCCAAAACCGACCTCCTTCCTGTCGTCTCCCTTCTCCTCTGCCACCCTTTGCAACCTTGTTG